TTGTGAGAAGACATTTTTTTTTCTCTCGGGAATATTTTGACTTTTGTTTCAAGCCCTCCTCCATTCTGAATTCTTATATTATTTATCTAATTATTCTTTATACACTAAAGATTATTGAGGTGGGGATTTTGACCAGTTTGACAATCTTTTTAAAACTTGCTACATTTAAAGCAACATGTGAAATGATTACTACAGTCAAGCAAATCTTTGAACATTTAAGTGAATGTGGTACAGATTTTTCCGAACTTCTCTTTTTAAATAGCAAGCAATCGGATTTTATTTCTCAATATCAATACAGGAAGTGAGTAATCCTCCTCTTGGTTCTGAGTACTAAAGAATAGAAAGACCTAAGGAAACTTGTTAGGTATCCACTGTGTGCTTGGTACTTGACTTAATTTATGGAGACAAACAATTTAACTTTTAAATATTAGCAAATTTTTATTAATAAAGGAGTTTAACTGTGGATTTCAAAGCCATTTAAAACAATTTAAGAAAGTCTAATTTTTGTGTCTTCGTCGTTGTCGTCGTTGTCATTGTCTTCTTCTTCTTCTACTTCTTCTTCTTCTTTTTTGTAGCGCTGGGGATCTAACAGTATCTTGCATGGGCCAGGCAAGTGCTGCACACCTGAGCTATACCCCCAGCCCTCTACCACCTTTTTATATTGAAGTGACATGTCAATCTCAGTGGAGTGTCTTCAGTATTTAAAAGAAATCCATATATAAGCTGGTATAGTCATAAAATATCTCTAAAAGGACATGCAGTAGATTAGTAACATTGGTTTCCTCAGGTGTAGGGAGGGGGGAGTAGCTGACTGTGAGATAGGAATATGTGTCCTTTTGTATTTTTGTACCCTTTTGTGCTTTTTGATTTTTAAACTATGGAAGTGAAATCAACTAATCATGCATTCATGCCTCCGTTTTGTGTCACCTATGATGGTATTTTAAGGTGTTCTTGAAATCAATTGCCTCAATTTGACGCCTACTTCTCTTATTTAAATCACATTATGTTACAGTATCAGTGTTCATGATTTTACATGGAACTTCTGGAGCCCTGCCCCTGAGATGGAAGCAAAACAGGGAAAGAGGAAAAAATTTTCTTGTCTCTCGCTCTCTTCTTCTTTCTCCTTATCCTGTTGTTCCCAGGAAAGAGTTGATGTTCTGTCAGGAGTGGTATGCACAAAAAGACCCCACATTAAGATCTTGCTTGTGTGCAAAGGTGCTGAAGACATTAAGAGATGATGATGATGGTGAGTGCTTAGCATTTGAATTGAGAGGAACTCTCCCAACCACCAAGGGACAGTTCAAAGCACTCTTCCATGAAAACAGGCCAAGGCAGCTGCAAGGGAAGGTGGCCGCAGACCTGACCTTCCAGGGAAATTGAAAGCAGCCCCCAGACCTTGCCATGCCAGCTGCAGACAGCTGGGCAGAGCACTAGCCTGATACCAGTCTAACCTGTTTTGTCAGACCAGGGAGCTCTCGGCTGGCTTTATGTGTGATTAAGTGCCATCCTAAAGTCACTGGGCCTGCATGTCTGAGCAGCAGAAATAGCAAGTGTATGAAGCAAGGAAAGGTGGCATAAACAGACTTTGTCAGTTAGTTGTGGTTCTCTCTCATGTGTACAATAGTTCTACTTCCTCCATAATGTTTTTGTGACAACTGACATGGGTCCAAAATATCTGGCTCTGTCACGCTAGCCCACCACCTGTTTCTCACTTCCCTTCCTCCCTGCTTATCAGTGTTCTGAAGGACACATCGGTTAGCCCTCTAGGTCCTGTGGATTGTGGGCTCATTGTGCTGTCTTGCTGGGTTGGAGCTGGATTGGTAAGCACAGCCTAAGAGTGGGGTAATAGGTACAGTCTGAAAGGGGCAAGTAAGACTTTTGCAGGAGCATGAAATTAACATTTGAGCCTGTGAGCCTCTCACTTTGGCCCCGGTTTGGGGCAGCTCTATATGGTCTTGCTTTGGTGCCATTTACCCCTGGGTTCAAATACTAGTCTTGTTACTTATAAGGCTATATTGTCTTGGGTAAACTCTCTGAACCTTAGTTTCCTCTTTTAGAAAATGGAGTTAATGTTACTCACAGCATTGTTGACCTATCTAAAGGGTCAAGTGCAGTGTCTGGCACTTAAGCACTTGGTAAATATTAGTTCCTATTCTCACTTTAGACTTTGTGATTCTTTGGCAAGCTTTGCTACTTACAAGGTTTAGAGGCCTGCTGTAATTTTAAAGTGCATTATGACACAGTGAGTAGGAGTAGAACTGTGTATGTTTTGTATATGTTTGATGGACTACTTATTAATACCTAGAAAAATCTACAATACATCTACCAGCCCCATTTATCCGGTACTTTGAGTTCTTATACCGTGTCTTTCAGAAACATTTGTATTAGGATATTTTTTAGTTTTTGGTATCAGGGAACGAACTCAGAACCTTGCGCTTGTGAGGCAGGCGGCAGAACCACTGAGCTAAATCCCTGGCCCTGCATAAGGATATTAAATTGTATAGGCAGCAGTA